CCGGCCATGGCGGGCGCCCACTACCCGCTGCACTGCCTTCATTCCGCGGCGGCGGCGGCGGCGGCGGCGGCGGCGGCCGCGGGCTCCCACCACCACCATCACCACCATCACCACCATCAACACCACGGCGCGCCCTACTCCTCGGGAGCTGGCGGCGGCGGCGGGGGCGGGGGGGGCGGCGGAGGCGCCTACAGCCACCGCTCGCTGGCCGCCGCCTACCCCTACATGAGCCACTCGCAACACAGCCCCTACCTCCAGGCCTACCACAACAGCGGCTCGGCCGGCCCGACGCGGCCCGACGACCCAGGTGAGCCCGGCGCCCGGGACGCCTCCCCGAGCTCTTCCCGTCCTCCTGCCCGCTTGCCCTGCCCGCCTTCCTGCCCGCTTGACTGCCCGCTTGCCTACCTGCTTGCCCTGCCCGCCTTCCTGCCCGCTTGCCTACCTGCTTGCCCTGCCCGCCTTCCTGCCCGACTGCCCGCTTGCCTACCTGCTTGCCTGCCTGCCCTCCCGTCCGCGGCCTTTCGCGCTGCGGGCCTTCCCCGGTCCCCTCTCTCCCGCTCTCCTGGGCTGTCTGGCCTCTGGCCTGTTCCCAGTTCCAGCCTGTCACTGAATCGCTCCAGGCTCCTCTCGGGCAGTTTAGTCCCATCGGCTCTTCTCTGCTCCCTGAGGGCGCACCCGTGTTTGTGAGTGAACTCCGGACCTAGGCGGGGGCTGTGTGCGCCGAGGCTCTGTCCAGGCGCACACACTCACACGCGGACACGGTACCAGTTTGGCCCAGGGGCCCCGTTTCGGCTCTCGCCAGCCCTCTTGTCTTCTTACCCTACTCGCTTCCCCGCCTCGGTTGTTCGCGGGGGCCCTGCCGCCACCGCCTCTACCCAGGGAAGGCGCTTTCCGCAGAGCACCAGACCAGGCTGCTATGCGGGGCAGAGGGCGGCTGCAATCGTTCGGCTCGCCGGTGGAGCCCGGCCGCCAGGCTTGTCCGAGGACAACGAGGAGGAAAGGAACGCGGTGGGGAGGGTGTTCTGGCCCAATTCTTATGCCAGGCCGCAGAGGGGTAAGGTTCCCACGGGCTCATTGACAGCCTGTCCCCAAGTCGACTCTCAAACCTGGAGGTCGGGCGAACTCGGCTCAGTCTTTGTTAGCCCCTGAGGGCAGGGAGGCAGGCGAGCAGTCTGGCCCGAAATGCTGCTTCCGAGTCGGCTAAAGGCCAGGCTCCGCCAGTGAGTCAGACAATCCTACCCCGCCTCAGCCCCCTCACCTAGGTGCAGCCGGGCCGCACCTAGGGCTCTACGGGAAGACCCCCTAGACGACTGGGGGGAGGGTGTGGTCTGTGTGTTTGGAGTCCAGGCGGGTGCTGTGTCTTCCGCTGGCCTAAGCCCACAATTCGATGAGACCGAGCAGAATCCCCGCGGTAGCTCCTAGACACCGAACACCAAGCTGGGGGTGGGGAGGTAGGTAGGAAGGCAGTGCGGGCAAGTAACCGTGCCCGCATCTTCTCAGCTGGGTATCTGAGCAGCCAGCGCCCTTCTACCTCTCTCTCGCGCTCCCCTCCCCGCGACTGCTGCTGCGGCCTGGGTGTCGGACTCCCGCCACTCCTCTAGCCCAGCCCTAGTTTCGCCCCTGAGGGCTCGGCAGTGGGCAGCCGACAGAAGGACTAGAGCTCTTCCACCCCGGCTGGGGCTCTGGGAGACCTCGGGGAGGGAGAGCGAGGTCCCTGGGGATGTCCCGCACTGGTTCCCGCCGATCTCTCCCAAAAGTCGCTCCCACCGGCTCGCTTTGCTTACAGATCAGCAGAAAACCACGGTCATTGAAAACGGGGAGATCCGGTTCAACGGCAAAGGGAAGAAAATTCGGAAGCCTCGGACCATTTACTCGAGTCTGCAGCTGCAGGCTCTGAACCATCGCTTCCAGCAGACCCAGTACCTGGCGCTGCCCGAGCGAGCGGAGCTCGCAGCTTCCCTGGGCCTGACTCAAACCCAGGTAATTCTGCCCCAGGAAGTCCTCCTTGCCGGCCTGCCGGCGGCCTTCCAGTTGAACACGGGTTGGGGAGGGGGTGTGGCTGGGGCCGGTGAATACTGCCCCGCCGCTGAGCCTCGCGGCTGGGGGTGCAGGGGAAGATTTACAGGGTGTGGACAAACCGAAGAGCGTTGGAGGGAGAGCCTGGGCTGGCCTGGCCTGGCCTGCTGTGCACCCTCCCACCCCACCCCCTACCAGCGTCCGGGCCCTACCCGCCGCCCCCCACCTCCTACCCCGTGCAGCGAGATTTGACGGAGCTAGCTTAGTGGGTTTGCAATGGAGAGCTTGGCTAGAGAGAAAGTCAAGGATGGCGCCCGAGATGGAGCAGAGGGAAGGTGGGCAGGCGCCCTGAGAAGGCGTTGCTTTGCAACCGGGTATGAGCGATCTCGGTATGGAGCTAGGAGAGATTAAGCACACAATCTAGCCATAAAATAGCCAATAAAGCAAAGCTAAACAAGTGCCAGGCTCACTGCAGCTAGGCCGAGGGGCTCAGCTCCAAACCCAAAGAATCCCACCCAGGTGTAGCTACAATCACCTTTCCGAGAGAGAAAGGAATGGGAGCAGCGGAGTATCTAGTGGGAAGGCCCTGCTGGGGACCCGATGCCCAGGACAGTGGATGCTCCGGGGCTCCAGGCAGTTAGGGGTGCTTCTATTGCATAGCAGGCAAAAAGATTAAAAATGTGGATCTAATGATTCAAGATGAAAGGACAACTTAAGGCATCCTTGGCCAGGAGAGCCAGGGCAAAGGTACCGGCTGGAGAGACTTCGGAGAGTTCCTCAGAAGGCAAATGGGCCAGCAAGTAAGAAGGGGTAGTGGCGGCTCCATCTGAATGGACAGATATCGGGAAGGGCAGTGGGCTGCAGGGGCCGACCCTTAGTGCTAAGGTTTGAAACCGTATTAGAAACGCGTTGGCCAAAGGCGGACCTTGCGCATCAACTGCGGCCTCACCCTGAAGCCACCGACCTAGTGCCTGCCTGAGTTGGCTGCAGCTGCCTGGCCGCCTCACCATTTGTGGGCATTTGCTCTGCTTAGCTTGTGAGACAACGTCAGCTTCTAAGGACTAAGATTGTGTGTGTGTGTGTGTGTGTGTGTGTGTGTGCATGTGTGTGTGTGTGTGCGCGTGTGTGTGTGTGTGTGTGTG